GGGCCCAGGGGTCTCCTAGCTAAGACCGTAGCGCCTTGGCTAAAAGCTATGACTCAAGAAAGGTCTGCCGAGTACCTGACTGCAGGCTGGTGTTGGCCAAGCCCCCGGGTCTTGTGGGTGGGGTGGCCCTGTTGTCATCTTCCTTCCATCACTGATCAGCAGGTTAAAACCTGGGGTGATCGCCTGGCTTCTCATCTACAAAAATAATAGATGTTGGCGGAACATTTGGAAAATAGGAAAAAGCATGAAGAAAAAACCAAAAAGCGCCTCTGGCTGGATTTCACCCCCACACGCAGACCCGTGGGGTGCGCATCACTCGGAACCAGAATCACGCCGCACGCCCTTATTGTCACCGACTTCTGGACAATGTTGTTGGCCCTGGGTTCTTGATGTGTGGCCAGCGTCCCATGGTAACAGTCGGGATGCTGGGGTGCAAGTGACAGAAACGTACCGAACGTGACAAAGCTCACTGAGGAGTGGGCGGGAGCTTCTAGAGCACCCCCTGCACAGACAGAGCCGATGAGCTGGATTTGGGGGACGCAGTGGTGGGTGAACACGGAAGTGCCTGCTGGGACAGATCGGCCGGCTCTTTCCTTTCTGACGGGGGGCAGGGTGAAGCCTCTGGTTGCCTCGGCTGCGAGGTCTACACTGCGGCGGTCATGGGGGTGGTTAATGGGAAACCTGGCACATCCCCTGCTTGGCGTTGGTGTGGGGTCTCTGTCACCAGGCCCCATTGTTCTGCCTTTCGGTGGCCCCTGGTTTTCAAGGGTCTGTGGATGTGGTGACGAGCCGTGTCCCCGACACTCTACTCCTCTGCCCAGAGGATATGCAGGAAGGGACATCGGCCGTTCCGGCCCTGGCCAGGGGGTCTTGGTCAGGCTCTGGGCAGGGTGTGCTGTGGCTCTCACCCCAGGCCACAGCCGCTGTACCTGAGAGGCTCATAAACATTTCCCCAGGCGGCCACACAGTGGCCCTCGGGGGTGGGCATTGTCACTGCTCTAGAAGCAGAATTGAGGCCACTGGCCGGCCAGCATCAGTGGGCTGGAAATGTGGGCAGGCTCCTGCTCCAGCGCGGTACTCCCCTTCGGTGGACACAGTCCCCGTGCAGAGGCTCCCTGGTCCCCTAGTGGGGCCTGGTTCAGGGAAGCTCAGCGGGTGTGGGGACCGGGTCCTCTCCCCCCGCCACGGGCAGTTCTGCTTTGGCTGCACAGGAGGAACGGAATCTGCAGCCCAGGGACCGGGTCACAGATATGGGAAGTGGCCCCCCGTGGCCCCACAGGAATTGGGGCATGTGACAGGGCTGGTGGTGGGTGTGGCAGGACCTGGCTGTGCCCGTGCCTGCCTTCTGGGGTCTGCCCTCAGCTTGGCACTGGGCCAGGACACACACATGGCTCTCCCATGGCTCTGAGGGATTCCTCGCGTTCTTGGGGAGGGTCTGATGGGCACCGTTGCCCAGAACAGGGGGCTGCTTTCCAGAGGGTACCCCTGAGCTGGGGTCCCTGCCCGAGGTGGGACAGCACGTGCCCAGAATGGGGTCTGCTGCCTGTCCAGCAGGACCCCTGGGTCACACACCAGACGTGCTGAGGCAACAAGGATGCTTCGGGCCGTGGAGGGGGCTGTGAGGGCTCTGGCGGGCCTCGGTCAAGGCCAGGCCTCCAGGCCAATAGCAGGCGCAGGATGGGGGCTGCAGAGGAGGGGCCTGGGTGTGGGGTGTGCCCGCAGAACCTGGCAGAGGACCCAGGCTGTGGCCGGGTGGGCTGTGGGAGAGGGGCTGTGCGGGGCCCCTCCGGAGCCTCCCTGTCCCCTGTCTCCTGCCCGAGGCCTGGGTCGGGCTCACGCACACCCACCGGCCTGCACGTGTGGTCCTCCCGCAGGCCTCAGTCGGCGTGCTGCTTCTGCTCCCCAGAGGAGCCTGGCTGAGGCCTGGGTCCCCACAGGAGGGGCGGGTGGGCTACGAGACGTAGGGGTCTCAGAGAGGGCTCTGTTTCGTACCACAGGCACCCGCTGTGGTCGGGCCTCTCCTGTATTGGCTGAGGGCGTGGGGCAAGGCCGGCCTGCCCAAAGCCTGAGCGACCGCTTCCTTCTCGCTCTGAGGAGGGTCCCGGCCTGGGGTGCCGCCCGCTCCGGCCGCGTGCACTCCAGCTGGGCTCCCGACTGTCGTGAGGGCCGCCGCAGAAGTTGTGGTGTCTCGTCCAGCCTGGCCCTGGAGGCTGGTTAGGCTGCCCTCCCCGGGCCACATCCCCCCTTGAGTCCTGGGACAGAGCTCCGGCTGGCCCAATGATGTGACTGGGCCCGTCGGCTGGCTCCTGGCTGCATCCGCGGCCTGTGGCCTGGGTCCCTAGGGGTGGCCAGTGGAGAGGTGTGTGCGGTCAAGCCTGGGGAAGAGCAGAGGGCTGTTCTGGGCGCCGTGCTGGGAGATGCGTTAGGGCACTGGGGCCCGATAGACACCCTCGCCGCGGGGAGGGCAGCTCCTGTGCCGTGTCCTCCGGGGTCCGTTCCCTCCGCGAGTGGGTGTGGCGTGGGCAGCAGGACAGCGGGCTGGCCCCCAGACCCGGAGGGCGGCGGGGCGGGGGCTGCCTTGGGGGGCGAGCCACCAGAGCTCATCCCGGGGCCTTGAGCCCAAGTCCATCCTCGCCGGGCCTCCATCCCGGTGGTTCCTGGAGGGCAAGGGCGAGTAGGGTGCACACGCCGTGAGGGCATCAGCCTGCAGCCGGTGTGTGTCCATGTGCGGCCTGGTGCTCTGGGTCTCAGACCTCCGGTGGGAGGACTTGGACAGACAGCCGGGCCCCTCCTGGGCTCCTGCTCGGCCGGCCGCTGGCCGTGCTTTCTCCAGGATGGCCACGAACGAGCTCACCGTCATGGAATTCGTGAAACCCAAGCCCAGCTCAGTGGAAAATCTGTTTTTAATTTTTGGTCGGCATGTGGGAGCCGCAGCCAAGTGTGTTAGAGGGGTGGGGGGCTGTGGGCCGAACAGCCAGCCAGGCGCCCAACTCTGCTCCACGGCCAGGGCCCTCGGCACCCGCTCAGCCTGGCCCGGCGGGTGAGGGGGCCTTTTCCGGAGCTTTCCTCAGGAGGCCGTGTGGGCTCAGACCCCTGCTTCCTCTGTACTCAAGTGTGTGGGGCTCCAGCATCCCTTCTGGCCTCAGGCCCCCGGCCTGGAAGGTGGGTGCCACCCCTTTCCCAGGTGATCTGGGGACCCGTGAGGCCCAGTGTGAGGCTGGGTGGGTGCCGAGGCCAAGAGCCAGCCCCAGGGGAGCGGGCAGCGCCGTGTGGCGTGAGCCCTTCCCAGTGAGGGGCCCCAGGCACAGGAGCTGCGACAGCAGCCCAGCCCTCAGTCCAGGCCCAGGGCTCCGGCCGAGACGCATGTGGGTTCCCAGATGGTGCTTTGGGGGTTGGGATCCCGCCAGCCTCCTGGAAGACCCGACCTGGTCTCTTCCTGTGGAGAAAGGCCCTCGGCAGTTCTGGGGCTGGGGTGGGACTTCCCCATTGGGAAGCGGTGGAGGGTCCTGCCTGCCCCCACCCCACCCTCCAGAGCCCCTCGGGACACGGGTGTGCAGCCTGGACCTCGTGCCGGGCCTTCGCCCGGGCCGTCCCTCTCTGGGAGCGTGCCCTCCTCTCACGGTGCCCTGCTGGTGCCCTCTGACACCTGTCGTCACACCCCCCAGTCTTCCGAGGCTCCGGGTGTGTGCTGCTGGGGTCCCGGAGACGCGTGCCCCGTGGCCCCCGTGTGAGGCCTGGTGCTGATGTGCCTCCGTCTCGGGCTGGCCCTGGGCCGAGGGGCCCTTTGTGTAGTGACTCGGGCCTCCCTGCTCCGGTGAGGCAGGTGTGACCACCGCAAGGATGGTGGGGCGCAGGGCAGGGACAGCCCAGGCCCCTGGAGGAATTTGGACTCGCCTTCTGTTTGGAGCCTCGCCCTTGAAAGCTGGTGGAGCTGCCTCGAAGGGAGGGCTGGTGCAGGGAGGGGTAAGGACGAGCTGAAGGGACAGGCCTGCAGCCATGGCCTTGTCCAGGGACGCCCACCTCCGCGGACCGTGGGCCTCACGCCACGGGCAGTGGCGGGACCTCAGTTACGGCAGCTGGGCCTGGGGGCCTGGCCCTGCACCTCCTGCCGTGTGACCGGGCGGAAGTCCCCGATGCCCCGAGAATAGCGGCGTCGGCCCTGGACGTCTGGCCCCCACGTCCTCCTCGCCTGTGAGCGCCGGGGCCTGGGTGTCCATGACTTCTGCCAGGAGGCTGGCCCAGGGGGTGTGCCGCTGTGGCCTTTAGGGCTGGGGTTGGGGTGGGCAGCTTCGGAGCCCCCGTGAGGGACTCCAGCGGGGCAGGGGCTCCCCAGCCTGGCTGAAGGCTGTGGTGGCCCACAGAGGGGTTGAGCGTGTGGGCGGCGCTCAGGGGCAGTTGCTGAGGGCATGGAGGCCCCCCTGTGGGGCCGCGTCTCTGAAGAGATGGTCCGTCGGGGGTTCTGACCTGTGCTGCACGTGCGGTGTGCTCCTGGGTGCAGCGGGTGCACGGATGGGCCGTCCCAGGGTCCCGTGTGGCCACCCTGGCCCGGTGGCCTCGGGCGCATCAGCGTGGCCTGTGCTGAAGCTGAGCCCGGTGTCGCGCACGGGTGGGGTGTGCGTGCCCGTGCGCTGACTGGCCGTGGTGGGATGCTGGAGCCTCGAGCCCTCACGCCGTGGTCTCTGTCTCTGGACGGGGCCAAGCCTCCTGCTGCAAAGCTCTTCCGTAAGGCTTCGTGGCACGCTGTGGGCCCTCCCCTTACGGGGCTGGCTTGGGGCCCCCTGTACTCTGACTGCCGGCAAGCCTGGGGCTGAGCCAGGGACCCCCACCCCCGCCCCGCCCTGTGCAGGGAGCTTGGGCTCACATGGAGGACGGCTGGGGTCCTGGGTCCCTCGTCAGGCCTCCTGCCTGGGCCGGGGCCTGAACGGGGACAGGGAAAGGCTTTAGACTCCAAGCTCTGGCTCATCGGGTATTTCCGGAGCGGATGGGGGCTTTGGGGGACCATGAGGCACGGAAGAGAGTGTGTGGGCACAGGCCAGGGCTGCAGGGGCCTCGAGAAGGAGGGGGTGGTCCGGGGCCGAGAGATGAGGTGAGCCGTGGGGCCAGGAGCGGGGGGTGGGCCCCGCCGAGGCCCCACTGCGGGCGCCCGCACGGAGCCCGGTGCGTTCTTAGCGCCTCAGGTGGCTGGCAGCCGGCACTGTGGCCAGCGGTCAGGACACGGGCCCAAGCATCTCGCCTCGCCTGACCGAGTGCTGACATCACTTCCATCACAGACGGAAAATTCCATCTGGTCGGAGCCCAGATGCTGATCAGGCATTTCCCATTCTCTTTCTGAATGGAGAATGGACCCGGGGCCCATGGGGGGGGGGGGAGGGGGGAGGGGGAGGCGGGGCTGTCCCCTGGAATCTGGCGTCGGGAGGCGGGGGCAGAGGGCACTCCAGGCACCCCCAGGCCTGGCTCGTGCACCCAGGTGGCGACGGGCTCTGAAAGTTCACCGTGATGGGCTATGCCCTGCCCAGCTCCGGTGCCCTCCTGGGTGAACCGGGAGGGTGATGGCACCTTCCATGGGGGTTGTGGGAAGCTGCTGTGGTACAGGCCCCGTAGCCTGATGTCCTGCCAGAGAGAGAGCTCCCCAGCTTCTCGGACCTTGGGGTGGGGAGCCGGGGGGCCATGTTTCTGCACGCCCACTGTGTGCCAGGCCTCAGTGCCAGAGGGGGCACTGCCCCAGCTAAATCGATGAGCTCAGCAAGGCCTCTCCTTCCTGGGGGAGGTGTGGGCAGACAGACCCAGCACAGAGATGGTAGAAATAGGGCCCCTTCCTCATAGGAAGGAGGCTTCCTGGAGCTGGGCAGACAGACCAGGAGGGGATGAGGTGGAACCTTGGATGCCTGGCTCCCAGCATGTAGGGTTACAGGGGTGAGGTGGGAGTGAGGTGGGCACCTGTGCTTCTGTCTGCCATTGCCTCCAGAGAAGCTTCTGGAAAGTAACTCACCCCTTTGGTACCCAGGACACACGATCATCATCAAGCCTGGCCCTGGGGTTCCTGGGGCAGTGAGTGGTCCTCCCCTAGCCCCTGCCCTGTGAGAGGCAGGGATGGGACGGGAGCGTCCTCCGCCCCCAGGCAGGCGGCCCTACCTGTGTGCGAGGCTGCTCCTGGCTGGCCGGCTGCCTTCCCCGCTTCCCCGTCTGCTCCAGCAGCCAGGTGCTTGGGACGCCCTCCCCTGCCCACGGCCACTGGGAGCTTCCAGCCACGGGCTGCTGTGATCACAGGGTGACACCTTCATGTGCACGTGGGCGAGCATGTGTGTGAATATACGGGTGTAGGCGTGTGTGTGCACGAGGACGTGCTTGTGCGTGTGCGTGTAGGGGCACGTGCTCACCTTGTGCGTGAGCAGCCCTGGACCACTGCCCCCCCCCGCCCCCCAGCAGCCAAGGTGCCCACTCTCTGCCCCCAGCCCACCAGGCTGTGTGGTGACAGAGCGGGCCCTGGGGGTAGCAACCCCTGGGGACCCTCACCTTTCTTGGGGGACCCCCACGGGGATGCTCTTCTGAGCGTTTACAGGGATTCGCTTGTGTAATCCTCAGTCACCCGGTCAGGACAGTGACGCACCCATCTCCACTCTATAGGTGGGGAAACTGAGGCATGGGGGTGCGGTCCCTGACTCAAGGTCACATCTCTGAGCCAGGCTGGGCAGCATTTGAACCTTGCTGCTTTGGCTCCCTGGGCTGTCCCGCTTGGGCAGCGGTTTCGGGGTGGCTGTGGGGGAAGGGCAGAACACGCCTCCCCCGCACCTCGGTCCAGGTTCTCGGCCTCCCGGGGCCCATGTGACCCAGTCATCAACTGAGAGGGGTCTGGCACGGCTGCCGGGGACCCCGCTCCCGCAGGGGGGGTGGGGAAGGCTCACACACTGCACAAAGGCAGAAATGGGGTGCGGAGAGCAGCAGGGCCTGACCGGAGACCGCACGGGGCCTCTTACGTGGTGGCAGAGCCGGGCTCAGACCAGGGGCCTCCCACGCTCAGCTGAAAGGAGCTACTAACAGGATTCTGGTTCTGTTTTAATTACAAAGTTGGTACAACTTGGTGGTTTAAAAAAAAAAA